TATATCTATCTATCTATATATATATATATCTATATCTATATATATATATCTATATATAGATATATATATATATCTATATATAGATATATAGATATATAGATATATATATATAATCTCTGGAGGCTGTTAAAACGTATTTAACTAAATGAACCACGATGAAGGAAAGTTAACAAATGAAGAAAGCCAAAACAATTACAGTTTTCCACTTTATAAAGTAGAGACAAATCATAATTCTCCTGCGGTTTGTCTGTCAGGTATCTGGCACGGAATTCTCGAGGGTATCGGCGTGCTTGCAGTCATCACCAACGCCTTCGTCATCGCCATCACCTCAGACTACATTCCCCGCTTTGTTTACGCCTTCAAATATGGCCCGTGTGTGAACAAGGGACGCCACCATGAGGATGAGTAAGCACTTACTATAACGTGTAAGCTGTAGATACTTCCGGCAGAGTGGCTGGTGTCTTAAATATTCTCCTTTCCTCCCTCAGGTGTTTGCGAGGCTACATGAACAGCAGCCTGTCTGTGTTTGACATGAGGGAGTTAAAGAACAACAGCCAGCACAGGTACTGCAGGTACAGAGACTACAGAGCGCCGCCCTGGAGCCCAGTGCCGTACGAATTCACCCTGCAGTTCTGGCACGTCTTGGCTGCCAGACTGGCCTTCATCATCGTCTTTGAGGTAAATTCTTTTGTTGTGTGTTTACCAGCAAGGCAAACTGCTAAAACTAAATCCCCTATGTCTTCAAAATTCTGTGAAACTACAGACTGTTTTGAAGATTCTTTTTTTTTTACTTTTAATGATTTATATGCTGGCCAAAGTGAAAACCTCACAAGCTTGATTTAGGTGATTTTAATGGTTTAATTGAATCTTGCTGCTATACAGAAGGTTGAGGAATTTCACAAAAAAAGAAAAAATCCCAAATTGCATGGTGGTCCAGCCAAAAAAAAGGCACTATGTTTCTTCTTCTTTCCTTAAAAAGATTTTCCCCTGACAACGCTACGCTCTTCAATAATTTGTATAGTGAGGAAAAACTGGCATACCATGCCCTATACAACATTACAGGGCACATAATGTTCTTTATTGTGGTGCACACAATGTTAACCTTTGCATTTTTATTGAATGGTGCAGCAAATACTGGCAACTAAAGCGTAGTTCTATGGAAGGTAACTCATAAATGATTTATGCTTCCCTCAGCACCTGGTGTATGGGATCAAGTCCTTCATAGCGTACCTCATTCCCGACATGCCTAAGGATCTCTGTGATCGTATGAGGAGGGAAAAGTACCTGATGCAGGAGATGATGTACGAAGCAGAACTGGAGCACCTGCAGAAGGAGAGGAAGAAGAACGGACGGCGTTATCACCATGAGTGGCCTTAGCTTTTACCCCGTGTCTCCACCTCATGTTGCACAGCCCTCAACTCACAGGCACAACCTCCCCCTGCCTGCTTATTTATGTATTTTTTCGCTTTGAGAATCTAGCTTCACTCGGCTGATACTGTACACCAAAGACACCCTCTTCTGTAACCAGATCCTCCCCCAAACCTGCCTGGCTTCAGGCTCTGAACTTGACCACTCCCACGCCATCTGTTTCACGTCCAGCTGTTTCATGGCTTCACTGGGGGAAACCTGTGCAATTGGAATGTTTACTATGCAGATCAAGGGCTGCAGATCACCACTGTTCACTCTTGGCACCCATCCTGCACTCTCTCTGTGTGGCAGCTAGCACTCCTGCTTTGACTCTGTTTGGTGCAACTCGCAGCATGGCCGTGTTTTTCTCACATGAGCATCAGCAGAGCCACCGTTCTGGCGATTATATGTGACGGAGCTACTGGCACTAAGCGTTTCTTGTTGCAAAAGAGATTCTGGTGATGTGGCTACCAAATACAATGGACACTGTTCTTGCAAAGCGACTGTATATTGCCGTTGAAGCATGCTGATTAATATTTGCAGCAAGAATAAAAACAACAGCATTCATTGTATTCAGTACATTTGACAAAGAAATCTCTATGATGTTATATAAAGTGCATGGTAATTTTGTTTTGTACCTTTTGATAGACAAAGCCCCTGTCTTGATGCCTGGTTCATGTGTGTCTGTACTCGCTGTGAGCTGTGTGTTAATCTCTGTTTGTGCTACTGCTGAGCTTGGCTGTCTTGAGTTGAGGAAATGTGAACTTAGTGAGATTTGATTGTGCCTACAGTTGTGTCACCAACATCACGTGTGCCTGTTTGTGCTGCACGTGCTCTTTCAAGTGCGAGAAATATTCTCTCTCGTCGTCTTTCTGTGTGATCTTCTGTAAACTCTCTGAACTCTCCGGTAAGGATTTGTTTTGGATGTGAGTCACACCACACTATACCTACTCGGGTCTCTGCTAATGGCTCTGAAACACGGTATACGTTGTAATGTGACTCCCTTCATGAACAATGTATACACTCGCATGCAGGAGCTGCAAATCTGCTCTTCCGTTCTGTGCTTGCGGCCTGTTTTTCATTTGTTGTTGGAAGCCCTGAAGCGTGGTTGAAACTTGGATGACTTAGACATACCTGTGGCTTGGATGTTCAGCTTGCAAAAAACATCTCTCCACTGTTCCTCAGTCACAAAGAACACCAACATACTACAAAAGAAGTTAGCTTTTAGCTTTTGTTGAACGCAGAGTCGGGACCTTTTATTGTAGTCAGTTATGATGTCATGGAACAGCATGTTTTTGACGACAACAGGCAGCATGAGCGACGTATCCATCTGTGAGGCTGAGTCAGAATCCGAATAGTTTCCTGTTTCATTCATGTTGAGATGGAGAGTTGTAGAATGAACAGCATTAATGGGGGGGGGGGGTTGTATTGTGTAGGTGATGAGAGGTCACGTTGATCATATGATATTAAATAAGATTTAGCATACATGAGAGTTACAGCAATCTAACAACTGAAGATTAAGAACATTGCTAACCTGTATGCATTGCAGACCACTGAACAAAAATGTTACATTTATGTGTTTATTTATTTATTTTTCTGTTCTTTGTGTATATATATATATGTCATGATGTATGTGATGTTTTTATACTTTTAATTGTGTGCTACCAGTACGAGTTCACCTGTTTTCACCCTCAGATACTCAAAGTAACGTCCACATTTCTCAGGTTTCCTCTGAATGTTTTATATTTTCTAAGATGCAATCGAAGGTGTCCTGCTTTTTAAGATATATATTTTTGCACTGCAGTGCATTTGCATGACTATGATGCAGATAAGACAGTTAAAAGCATGTTTAAACCTTTAATCACAGTAAGTGTATTAGAGCGGATCAGAAATCACACAGTTCATTATGGAGACGTATGATGCAGGTCGTTGGTTAAGAAGTAATGATGCTTTCAGGTCATATTGTTAAATCCATTGATCATAACCATTTCATTTACATGAGAGAGATAATTGTTTTTAAATCTCATTCCAATTGAAAACTATTGCAGGTTTTCAGAATATCTTCCCTGCTATGTGAACATTGAAAATCTATGCATGTTGTTATCCTTGAGTTTTGAACAATTGCAGATGTTAATGTACTGGTACATTTGTACTGTAGAGTATGCATGACCTAACACCTGCTTTGAGCAGAGCTAACTCCTGTAAAGTCGTTAACAGCGTCTTAAACATATCACCTCCACTTTTTCAGTGTTTATCCTTTTCGGAGGTCCAGACGAGACATGATGTTTCTTGATGTGACAGAATTTTAAACTGTAAAGAGTATTTTCTAAGTAAGTACTCCAGACTGATTTATATAATCTGGCCTGGAGTGAATTTCAAGGAGAGTCTGATGAAACTGAACACGTGAATCCTCAGATTTGCCGTTTGAACACTTAACTGGGAATCCGCGTTCTGTTTCACCTAATGGGATAGGGGTAATTTATTTTCTGAATGAATATGACCTTGGATGTTATACGTAACCAGCTACTAATCTTTTTCCTGTTATCTTCTTCTCTCTGAGAGCAATGGTTCATCTTCTCACTAGCACAAATGCTGCACAGTTTAAAAGGCTGCCTTCATGCCGTCTGCTGTTGGCGATAGCACAATATGGGTACTGCATAATAAGTAATAATGGCATGACCTTGCACATCTCTGAAAATATAGCAGTCTAGGGGATTAAGCTTTCTGTTCTATGCTATGCCTCCTAATAGGATTGTACTTGAGCAAGTGGTGTACTTGACGTTGAAGCACAGTGACGTTAGACCATATATTTAACTGTACAATAGGGTGGTATCAGTCGTGACATGAAGTGTATCAATAACATTGTTTACTTCGTTCCTGTTTACATGTAAAAACATATTGAAATGTATGAAAATAATGTAACATAAAATAATTTGGATATCACTCTTTTCTGTATTAAATCATGGATTGTATCTTTTAAATGCACTCCTCATTTGTGTTACTCTTATGATATAAACAACAGACAAACAGCCACTGGGTCTGGCTGATATTATCTTCATGACTATTCAAGTTGAACTAAATCTGCAGACCGAACAAACCGGAGCACAGAGGAGTGCAGAGAGGGTTTTCTTTCTTTCCCTCGCTATTATCACAAACTACAAATCTTCTTGCCAAAGAGTGTTCATGTAACATATTGTTAAAAAGTTTGGGTTTCTATCACAAACCCACTATTTGAGTAATGTAGGATTTTCCCACTATGACTGTCTACTGCCACTGCTGCTCAGCTTTCACTTCTAACTGCTGTTCTGTTCCATGTCATGAGATCTAAACATTAATGAAATGGTTTACTTTGAGCTCCGATGATAAATGTTTAATACTTTCATTATTTCCTGTGTTCTGTCTTTCTGTTTGATACCAACACCAAGATGGTTTCACCTCTTTAACCTACAGATGTAACATACTGGCCTAAAAAGCTATCTATCTATTGCATTTCTATCTTGTAGTGCTGCCATTTCATATTAAGGGAAGTACTTGTTGTGTGATACTGGAAAACTATGAAGGGGATGCTAAAGAAGTATGTAAAGTATGTGCAAAAGATGGAACTTAAAAACAAAAATAATTAAATGAAGGCAAAAAACAACACAAAAAGCTTATATCTGCAATATTACAACAAGCTGCCACTTCCTGGTGGAAAAAGTACTCGAACCGTTTCATTAAGTAAAAGTAGGAATGTAGGAATGCAGCAGTCAGGGGGCTTTCTGCAGGGCACCAGAGTTCAAGCTGTTTGTCTACCAATAAATCAGAAGCAGTGTTATTTACATTTTAAACAGAGCAGTTTTCCAGAGATATTATTCCAACCACAGCTTAATTTATCAGTATTGTTAACCACTCTCCCTCTCGTACATATTGCACATTAGTTCTTGGTCTCTAGGAGCACCTCAGCTGACTGATGTTATTCATATAGCGCAGCGTAGATTTATAGTGCAGGTTGGCAAGGTAATCGGTGGGCCCGCTGAGACTGTGGCCATAAATCCAACAGCACCAAGGTGTAAACAAGACAGCGAGCCAATGATGACCAGCAGAGGACAAAGGAGTCATAACACAGATATCCACACAATAACCATCCAGCTTAGTGCAAGAAACGGTTTCCAAAAAAATTACAGAATTACAGAAGCAGAACATTCATGACAAAACATGTTTAAAGAAAATGGCAGAGTGGCTCTAGCGCTGGCATTGCAGGTCTGTTGGTCGGTCCACTACTTTGGTTCGGACTGAAACATCTCGCAACTATTAGATGGACTGCCCTGACGTTTTGTGCAGACATTTATGGTGCCCAACGCAAAAATCAGCTTTCATAAACTCAGAAGTTTCAAGCAATAAAAATGTCTAGTTTTTTTTTGCATTTTGCACAGCAGCTGGTGAAGATAACAGCGCAGCAGGCATGGTGGTAAAATGTCTAGCTGGGTGAAAGAGGGGTGGGATTCAGATGTGAAGCATAACGGCAGTAACAGATGAGTTGACCTGAGTAAAGCCTCCTGCACTGAGAAGCAGCCGACGAAAATGACTTTGCAGAGCAAGATGGATGAAGGAACTGACAACCTGTACAGAGGGTCAAGGCAAAAACCTGCAATCAAACAATTTAGCAGAGTCACATTAATCCTTCTACACAAACTAGCCATGGTAATGAAACTATAGTAATTATCAACACCATCATTGCTATTATTAGCTGTATAGTAATAGTGTAACAGTTTGTGTGTGCTAGTGTATCTTGGAATAAGTATTGTAGAAAATCATTTAACATCTGCCTAATTTATGTAGATCTGTTCCTTCGGAAATCATAACGATTTTATTTTTCTTACAATTTCTCCTCCCACGGATGCAATCAGTGCCAGTAAAGTGCAGGCGGCTTCAGAGTAAACACCTGCAAGTTGATCCACCTGAGGTCGTGTGCTGCTGGTTTATGTTTGTGCTCTGCAGTGCAGATTATTCTGTAAATAGAATGAAGCAGGTTAATTAACATAGGACCCTAGCCCTATTTTTAGGCCTCTGCTCAAAAATTGCATACCCATACGCAAGAGTCCCGAGCTCTAACTACAAGGTCTATTTTAATAATTTTGATGCTAGAATACTGGTAACACTTGTGAGATGTGTTGAATTGTGTAAATATTTTGTATATGTTACTGGTTAATAACTGATACACTTATGGCACAGCTCAAATTGAAAAATTTCCAGGTTCGCCTGAAAAAAGCACTTGCATTGAACATTTTTGTTTTAAATAATGCAGCTGCAAGCCTAAAACCACGCCACAGTCATAGAACAACACGTTTTACATGTCCCCACAACATATTTTACTTCGATTGAGTGAAGCAGGCCAGCATAAATGGTCATAAAAATCAAAATTTTGATTTTCGGAACCAGCTGTTGCATTGCTGTATACTAATTTGATATACTATATAACTAAATATTAACTATATATTCACTTTTCTTATCACTAAGAGTGTTCAATAATCCTAATAAATCAGTATGACACCATTTTGAATAATTTTGAGCAGTTATGATGTGTCATATCTGTCATTCATAACAATAAATGGCTCATAATGTGTGTCTATGTGACTTTGGTAAGGCCGATTTACTAGTGTGAGACATTTTTAGATGCGGGATAGTCCAACGGGAGCCATGCAGGGGTGTTTGATCGTATCCGGGTCTGTTTACTGACTAAAAATCGCAAAATGCTGGGCGAACCCCCCTCTCTACATGGATTGCTCCACCCCACAGAATCGTCTGCCATTTTGTGATTCATTCCGCCAGCGCATTGATCTCACTTACAGACATGCAGTAGAACATGGCGGGCAGAGCTGTGCAGAAATCGGCTCGAATAAATCCATTTTTCATCGCCAAAAGTTTTTTTACCCAATTTTTTTTCTCGTGACCTGCGGCTGATGTTGGCATGCATACCCATAACTTTTGAACGGTTTGAAAGAGAGTAATTTGGACGCCACTGTGCGTTTCCGGGTCGAATCGTGCCCCTCCTGCATGTGTTCATCCGCCATTCGATCCTGCTCCGTGATGAGAGAGCCATAGAGTGAGCATAGGTCGTCGATTTTTGGCCAAAATTGTGGCAAATCTTCTAGATATCTTCCAGATATGATATTAGTTCATGTATAATTGTGTTTGCAGTGTTTACAATGGCTGGTATGATGATGTTGCTCGGACTTTTCCCGTTAATTCGATATTTAATATGTCTGGAGCAATAATCATATTTCTTTGTGAAAAATGCTTTCTACGACACGCTGAATGCTGCACACTCTAAAACAGCCCCCCGTGGGGGGCTCTCGGGTCCTATGGGTTTTAAACAAATATTTGTTAGTCCAGGTGTTGGAGAAAATGACACACCTGTGAGGTCGCTGATGTAAGGACACTGATGCTAACAGCCATGGTGCTTTTTGATGTTTGTTTGGTCATCAATATCCTCAATTTAAATGACGGCTCGGGTAGAAAAGCCACTTAAAACCATATGCAGTCCTAAAAACCTGGAAACCTCCCATGAGCTGGTGAGCCAGGGAAGTTGAAACCATCAGTTAAACGACAACAAAACACTTTATGTCAACAGACATGGAAAAGGTTGCACATTTTGCACAGGAGGAATTTATCAGTAGAGCAAACAACATAATGCAAAACAGTATGATGAGCAGAGTGGGGAGGCTGAGGGACAGAATCCTGAGAAGTGAAGAGCAAACAGAACTATCCTCATAATAAACAGTTTTTTTATGTAATTCTGACTTCATTTGAAGACAATTCTGCATGTTTTTATAATGAGTGTGTATGAGCAGATTCAGAGGCTAAGCATGATTATGTGCTGATTGAAAACATTAACTGTTGACATTTCTCCACAGGAGAGAGTCCAACACACACACAGTCTCTCGGAGGTGGTGTCAAAGTTGAGAGCAAAGAGAGTAATTTCACATCCACATTTTTCCATTTAATAATAGGTACGTGGTGAAAAACATCCACTCTCATTTGCAGTTTTGAATTTACATCTGTAACCTTCGGCGGATTAATTTCCAGTGGATCCATTTGTATTGCTCCCACTTGCTTTTAAACAATGGTGTGTGTGTGTGTGTGTGTGTGTGTGTGTGTGTGTGTGTGTGTGTGTGGCCTTCTGTCATCATTCAGCTGTGGTTCATGTGTGTAGGAAGAGAGAGAAAAAAGATAGAATAAAATGCTTTTTTCTCATTGCATCTCCTCATATTATTTATCGCCACTTGGGGGGGGATATTCCATGGTGTTTTCCTGTGTAGGAATGTTGGCTGCAAAGTTGCTCATTTGACAAAGCTGACACCTTCTCTTGAATATATCGTGCAGTTACAGCAAAACTTAAGAGCGCTCAGACATACCATGCAATCCTACAAAATTAGCATTTTGCTGATAAGTGGCACTAGAGCTACATGATACATTTAAATGGGATATTACTCACTTGAAATTCTTAAAGATTCACCCTTGCATACAGTGCTAATATTTCCTGACAGCATTTACGGCAAATATTCTCCAAAACATATTTCCACCACCAGCCAGGCCTGACTGTAGATTTTATTACAATATCAAAACTTTATCAAAATGAAAACAAGAAGTTTGAGCTCTCTGGGTGCTTTTTAAATTGATTGGTGATTAGGACCGTGTTTTAATGAAGGGCTACGGGAATAGACCTTGCTTCACTGCTAATAACTGACTAAAAACTTGTCTGAAATGAAGTTGGGTCATTAAAGTTCACTGTGAGTCAGCTTCTCGTCTCTGCAGCCTCCCACACAGCCTGCAGGGCCTCGACCCTCCTGTTCCCTCCGATCAGCATTGTGAAGAAACACATTACCACCATCTGAAAGACATCTGACCAAACTACAGCCTTCAGGCCTCCGTACACACACAAACACATACAAACAAACAGACACAACATTATACAGTCGAGGATCAACAACAAAATCTCTCCCAACTCCGCTAAATTATATTTGTTGTCACATCTGTTGCTACATCTGCTTGAGGCAGCTTTGCCCTGCAGTTCCCCGCTCTGCTTTGGCGAGCCGGTCAGTTTACTCTATCTGTGTTTATGTTGAGAGAGGTGCTGTATTTATTCAGGTGTGTTGCTGAAGAAGAAACAGAGAAAGGCTGCATGCCGGGAAACCTCAAGGTGTCTCTTTGCTTGCATTCTCCATTCAACAGCAGTACAACAGAGGTTTTCACTTGATACATCTCTCAGCTAATTGTTTTGGTTGTCTGATCTGCAACTTTTTGTTTTGGTTCAGTCTTGCTGCTCTGATTGGCGTCATATACAGTACATCCAGCCATAGCAGCAGCTGTTCTCAGTGGAAAAAGCCCACTGTTAAACTGTACACTACCTGCTCACCACCAAACCACAGGCAGGCAGAGTTAGTGACTAACTGGTGAACATTTAGCAGCTATTTATTATGATGATCTGATTAATCACCCTCTTTCCACTAAACTCTGCTGTCATAGGCCTTTTTGTGGCAGATATTTTGACACGCTGTCATTGATGATATCATAAGGCCTGTACTCCATTTAGTTTTGCCCATCCACTGTGTATGCTCTCTCAAAGATACACTAAAAAGAAGCAGAGCCATTGTTAATGGTATTAATTACACCTGCTGTGACACTGAAAATATCCGCTCTGAAAACTAACCATTTCCTCCATCGTCTAACCTGAACACCTGCCTCCAATTCCCTCATCAGCTCCCAGTATTAATCTGAATCTGCCCTTTAGCACTTGTTTCCTGACAGATTGTGCCTTGTGGCCGTCGTGTTCCAGCTTTCTAGTCTTATCTGGCTTCCTGTTTTCTGAGTCTTTGATCCCACCAAGTGTTTTGGACTTCTGCCTGCACCGTGTCTTGGTCTTGTTCGCTGCTGACTGCAAACCTGTTGCCGACCTTTATCCTCCCTTTTGACAAGGTAAATCCTGCTTTTATCCTTCTGCTACTGTCTGAGGAGTCTGCCGCGGCTCTCAATCCAGAATTGTTAGAGTGAAGAAACATGCAGCAACTCCTGAACATCAACACATAATGAAACATATTTGATTTTCCATATGAATAAATCAGATGTTTCACGATTGCCAAAACTTTTTGTTTCTTTATATCGTGTCTACCATGGTGTGTACTAACAAAATACTCAACCCCCTGCTGCACCAAATACTGAATATGGAACATGAATGGATGGAGCAAACGGAGGACAAAACCATCCATATCCAGTCTTGTGTTTACAGCTTTCCATATGTTTCCAGTTTGTGTGAGTTTTGCAAACGTGCTGAGAGACGTATCTGAGACCACCCTGTGATGATGTAATTACCCAAGACAGGAAGTAGCCCAGGGGACTCTCCCTCCGTGCAGTAATGCAATCACCTGAGTGAATAATCAGAGCTCTAACTACACTCTCACAGAATAGAAACGCATCGCCCCTGTCACTATACATATTGTCAAAAGATCTTTAAAAACCTATTCCTCATATCCCTGTGTACTGTTTAAAAAGAAGAATCAACAGGCCGTCTGTTCTTTTATTGCATGTAGTTATTTTTGGCTTGCAAAATTTGTTAGTAACTAAAATAACTGATCTGTTTTTTATTTGGAACTGTAGTTTATTTAATGGCAACATTCTTGAAATATTAAATATGAGGGATGTTTGATTAATTTATTGTAATATGTGATCAGTTTTATAGTCAGACATACAAGTGAGTCAGAATGATGTAACGAAAACTAGCCATGAACTTCACTGCTGTGTGACGTAGATGGATTGCATTCAGGCAGGCCTTGAATACTTATTTATTGAAAGAACTTGGTTAAACATTTTTAAATGGTAAAGAAAATGTTCAAATGTCATGTTAGCATTTGGTGATCTTGAAAAACTGAGATCGTGACTTGCAATTTGTTTATGAAGACACGCCCTGGCTCTAGTGTCATAATATGAGATCTAAATCGGCTTGTTTGTTTGTACCAAATAACAGAATAAACTTGTTCAAAAGTTTAAAGACAGTTTCGGGTAATGTAATATGCCAGTTGAGCTCCTGATTATCTGCACAAACTACTGCTAAAATGATTTACAGATATTTTAATAAGGACTATATTAAAAACAACTATACATGTGGTTGTAAGTTAATGATAATGATAATGAATTTATGTTTAAATATAGATAATATAAGGCTGTAAGAAACCTAAGTTTGTATTGTTGCGTGCGACTTTTGCTGGAAAGTGTGGCTGCAGTAGGCAGGGGCCACCGGGGGCCCTCCAGACTAAAAACAAGCGGTCTGCCCCTTTTATGTGACGGGGACTGTGTAACTTGAGTCGGGATGAAAACTGTGCGCCGGATCCAGCTGCCAGTGCAGATGCTGTTCGTCAGAGAGAGAAAGAGAGAGAGGAGGTGCATGATGGATCCCGTCCCACTGCTGCTCATCATAGTCACATCTTTGCCGTTGTGCTCGGCCGTCTACACCGGGCCCCTCCAACCGGAGATCTCCAATGGCACTTTCCATCACTTCTTTGTCCCGGACGGGGATTACGATGAGACTGAAGACCTGGAGGACTGCCAGATGCTGTTTAAATTCTCGGATGTGTATCCATGTGGGGCCTCCGAAGAGAGGGACTCCGTTGTGAGGGACGACTTCATCATCACCAAGCTGCAGGCGGAGGACGCGGCGCGGCTGCTGGAAGGCATCGGCCGGACTGTGGCGCACGACCTGGACGGAGAGGACAGCTACGGCAAGTTCCTCCAGCGGGAGATCTCACAGATCGGCGAGGCTTTCTCAAGCGTGGAAAAATCTCTGCTGGAGCTGGAAGTGAAGTTTAAACAAAGTCAAGAAACTGAGCTGAGAGAGGAGCTGAACGGCCATGTGATGAAGCAAGTGAGCGACATCCGGGGAACTCTGAGGGAAACTACAGACATCTCTCTGGGACTGAAAGATAAACACGAGCTGCTGTCTCTCATCATTCGCAGTCATGGCAGCAGACTGAGCCGCCTGAAGACAGAGTATCTTAATGTTGGCTCATAGGGGGCTACTGAGAGTGTGTGTGTGTGTGTGTGTGTGTGTGTGCGCGTGTGTGTGTGACCCTCCAGTTCAAGAAACAACTGGAAAGTTAGTTGTGGCTTATGAATATCTTTCTTTGAATATACCTGACCTACGGCTATCCCCATTCTTTGGATGTGTCATTAAAGCTCAAACACAAACATCCAGACATTCCTCTGAGTCAGGGGGAAAAAGGAAACATGAATTATGTTTGTGTGGAGCCCTCTTTGCCATGTCCGAAGAAGAAGAGTTTGAAGAGTGTGAAAATAAAAGCTTTCAGCTTCTGAATCAATATTATGGCTATATATTTTTTTTTTCTGTTTAAATTATGTTGTTTATAAAATTGTAGGTTATTGCTGATTAAATAAGTGCTTATTATTCATCACATAAGGCGTGTTTCATGTTGTAATTCACATGTTTTTTTATAATAATTTGTCCTGAGGAAGACACACGGCCATACAGTGATGTATTTTACAAACCATCTCCCTTCTTTGAAGCTTGAGGTTTACATACGTAAAAACCTTTTAAAATCTGAACTTCTGATTCATCGGCAGTCGTGTCGTTACGTCACGTTTTGTTGTTGGCTCTATAAGTGGCAGACTCAACCATCCTGTCAAGTCGCACTGGTTAATTGCCGTCTGAAGTCTGTCATTGCCTCCCATTTCCATCTGGAAGTCATCTATTCAAGTATGAAGTATGTTCGTCTAAAAGTGGCCACTGTTATCATTATCTACTCTTTTGCCTTTCATGATCTATAAAATCTGTGGTTTGTTTGAAATGTATGATTTTGGATGATGTCATTTTACTAAAACAGACTTATAAATGATATACAGCTTGTTTAAATCTCTAAGAAATAAATTCTCCCTTGCTCTTCTGCTGTGTCGACATACAACATCTCATTTGTTTTGACTTCCTGAAGGCATTAATCTCTACCCTGCAGGGTCACACACACAGGGGCGTTTTTTAATTTGCAGTGCCTTTTAATTTAACATTTTGAATGCCTTTGGTAGAAATGTCTGTATTTTCTGTCTTTAACTACCGTTTAATAAGACTCTCTTGTTTCAGCTAAAGTCTGCAACAACCGCAATGTTACTGCCATAAGTGTGCCCACTTTTTACAGAGATCATGTCTGTGCAGACGTGAGGGAGCCAGATGGGCTTCATGGGCGCAACTGGGTGTGATTTCCTCTGTCTGGTTTTCCTCACAGTCCAGCTTCCCCTGAGGGACCCCCTTTTTAAAAACAGTTCTCTGTAGCTCTGCACAGTGCGGGCCAACCCCGTCAAAAAACCCAGAGCTGCAGGAGCTCTGTGTGCATGGAAACCCTATATGTCTGTTTGGCTCTTAATTTCCATGAGGTACGGAACAGGGTTCACAAGATTTGGTTAAAATGTCCACTGTGTAAGTAAAAGGAGCGGCTCACGAAAACTCGCAACTAATCCTACCATCTTACTTAATTTGTCTCTTTTGGCTCTAATCATTAATTCCACCTATAGAAAATATTTTTTCTGCAGATTGGTTTCAGGTCCCTGATGCTTAGGAGGAGGAAGGCCTGAGTGTCAAGCACGCAGTTAGAAGAACGTATTCTCCTCTCTGACATATTTGAAGGACAAACAAAGACGTCAGGAATGTAGAGTGGAGCTGACTTGAGAACACACTGATCCCTCTCTGTGCAGAGCACAAAGCCCCAAAACCACATGCCTCATATAGTGTTGTTATTATTAGAAAGATGAGAGCTATTTGAATACTGCAACTGCTACTCGTCCTACCATTATTATTACTGCAATGGATACTGTCTTTTACTACAAATACTAATGGTATTACCGTCCTTCAGCTACACCGGCTACTACATGTTTTTATAAGACTCCTTGTTTGAAAGAAAGACAAACTGGTCACTGCTCACATTTAAATGAGAATCATTTTAACTTAAGGTCCACTTCCTGGCTTTTACAGGTTAAATGTTCAGCAGGTCAACACTTGCTAACTGAGCTTCATCAGGAGCTTTCAAATGCTTCTCAGTGGACCAACTCCATGACAACTGAGAAAACTCCCACTCAGCAAATTCCATTTTCTGATGAGGACAATGAGATGTGGTTGAAGGCCGGAGACAAAGCTAGCAAGTTGACCTTGAGTTAAGATTAGTTTGTTAAACTTTTCTATCTATAGTCTAATATTCACTCCGACACTGTGGCAGAGAAGTACTCAGATCTTTTACTTATGTAAAAAGCTGTAATACAACAGTGTATAAATATTCTGTTACAAGTAAGAGTCCTGTATTCAAAATGTTACTTAAGTAAAAGTACATAAGTATTAGCATGAGAATATACGCAAAGTATCAAAAGTAAAAGTACTCATTCTGTGGAATGACCCATTCCACAATAATATTTATTTATATTATTTCAATTTTTTTACGTTATTGGATAATAATGAGGGATGCATTAATGTGTTTATCACGTTTAATGTTGCAGCTAATGAAGGTGGAGCTAATTGTAACATTAAATACTGCATGGTGGCTAAAATCTATAAAAAATATTTTATTTGTTGATTATATTTTCTATTAATCTGAATAAGTAAATAACTTGTAACCAAAGTTATTGGATAAATGTGAAAAAGTGAAAAGCGCTAATAAAGTAATATTTGCCTCTAAAATGTAGTGAAGTAGAAAAACAAAGTTGCGTGAAATGGAAATACTCAAGTTAAGTACAAGTACCTCAGAACTGTAATCAAGTTCAATACTTGAGAAAATGTACTTATGTTCCACCTGCTGTTGAGACAGTCTGTTCCCTTTTGAAGCACTGGCCTTTTTACCTCATACTTTTATCTGACAGCTGCAGTTATTATGGTCTTTGCTGAGAGAAACGTTCAACCCAGTGACTGAGGTCATAAAATCAAATGCACTGTTAGATTCAAACTAGCAGGGAGTATGTGGAAAAATTAGATGCAGGATTTTCTCCTCATTAAGTAAAATATCACCCTGTAATAATCCAACCAAATTAGATTTTTCAAATGTAATATGTAAATAAAATGAAGTATTTGGTGTAACATATATTTACATAGCAAAGCTCATTGTAATGGTTTCTTTTGCAGTGTTGCATCATTGTTAGTGACACAGAAGACCTGCACCGTTTGTTTAAGTGAAGAAGGACTTGTTCCCACTGTGCACTTTGTACAAGTCGTTCATGAGCAGTAAGCCAGAGGGGATTAGTGCTGCTCTATGCTAAAACAATTCATATTATGGTTTAATTTCAACACTGTTCATCTTTCAGCTTGTCACAAAGTGCAGATCATTTTATCATAGATTTATTTTTTTGTGTTTATGAAATACTGCACATCATATGTTCATTCTATCATGAACGTATAATTACTTACAAAATCAGTCTCCAGTGGCCAATGTGGTTCTAACCAACAACACGGATTTATTTAAAGGCTGCAGCAGCACAATAACTCCATGAGGATAATAAATCATTTGAGAAACACAATAGTAAAGAGGAGTTGCTAAAGAGCAGAAAAACTTCAAGAAGTAAATGAAGCCAGGAATTGGATGTCATAAAATGTTTATTTCTCATAAAAGTTGTGGACAAGTAATTACAGCTTACAGTGGCTGGTATGTATGTTGTCAATGGACACAAATTACTAATAGTAATCAATCATATGTTTGTGCTGTTGTCAGAATAACGTGATCAGAAAGTTAATCAGTAGTTATCTGGATTTCATTTCTTATTTTTATAATTTATGTTTAGGAGCTGTTATTTCACCGTAATGCACAGCAGACAATTACTTCACTTTTTCTGTTCTATTCTTATTATTGGATTGTTTTATTTTTGTTACTCAGCTTTGGCTACTGACTCAAATTTTGGTCGCTGACATCGTCTCATTAAGTTTTCAGAAGTGGCTAAATAACACAGACTGCTTGTAACACAAACATAAATATAAAGAGCTGCTGTTTAAAAATAATGGTGTTGAAGTTTTGACTCCATTAGTATGCCTCTCTGCTTACATACCAGTGATCTCAGTGTGAAATACAAAAGACGACCACGAGATGTATATATGACGTCTGTTCAGTGTGTCACACAGGAAGAAAAAATTGTTCTGCAAGGCTGCTTTATTTTTCAAAAATATTTTGATGGGGGTAAGACCTCAAGAACGACAAAACATTTCCCTCAAACACAGTTTGGTCTTAATCTTCATATTTTTCCTTGAATAAACACAAATGCATCTGCATACATACAAAGTACATGTACATATCTTGTTTTGAATGGGTACATAATGATACACAGTTGCCCTTTGAAATGTGACAGTACACATCCACAGTTTGATCTTCAATACATATTTCAAAGTTGTGCTATTGATTGTCTGCCAGTGATTCTTTTTTTTTCTTCTCATACTAGCAGATTTTACAGAAAGAAAATTTGTATAACTATTCTCCTCTTGAAGAGCAAGCAATTAACACTGAACAGTTCATTCATAAAGAGGGATAGGAAAAAAAGCACCAGAGGGACTGAAATCGTCTTCAGTCAAATGCCACCTCTCTTTCGTTTCCATGTGAGCGAGAGCCAGTGTCCTGTGCTTTCTCTGTGTGAAGGCTCTCTCTGCTCTGAGTCCCTGGATATAACTGTCCGTGCAGCAGGGCTCGTCACTGTTTTAGGAGGAGACAGGTGTCTGTTAAATGTGCGGCGGCCTGTCACACACAGCCGTTCTCCTGCCTGGGCTTGTGCACCGCAGGGGTGTGTGGAGGGTAGAGGGAAGGAGCGAGTGTACACAGGAAGCCAGCCAGCAACGTCAGGCCCAGTCCACCCCAAGCACAAAACATGGACCAGCCGTAACCGTGACTGATGTCCTCTGGTATTCCAAACATGTAGCGAGGATAGCGGGACAGTTCAAAGTTGATCCCAGCCACACATGTGCAGAGGGAGATAATGCAGCATGTCCCTGCCAGAGAGGAAGAAAAACAAGTCACACGACAGCAGTCCATTTGCATCTCCTCTGATGCATCATTTCATCACTTTCTCATTAACAAAGACATCACTGCCCCTCTGCGGTGATTCGAGGTAGTGCTCTTTATGTATATCACATCTTACCTCCCATGAGGAAGAGAAGTCCAGCCACATACTGCATCAAATCATGCTGCTTGCAGCAGCCCAGCACGCCTATGATCCAGCCGAACAGGATGATGGATATGGCCATGCCTACGAAACTTGCAGTCATCCTCTGGAGGTCTGCAAAGTGCACAAGGGAAGTGTCAGTGTTATTAGACGGGGCGCTGAGCAAGTTTCTCTACATTTATTCATCAGATTATCAGATTATAGAAGGGGGTTTTGGGAACTCACGGAGCGCGTGCCACTCATCCTGCCTTATTGTCTTCGTCAGATTGATTGGCAGATTTCTGGGCAACGCTGATGATGAGTAGTAGTATTTTATTGGTGTGCAGCGCGGAACCAATCCTGTGGATGTAAACAACACAAAGAGGATGTCACAAAAAGCACTGAGATCAGATGAAGAGCATATCACAAGACTCTCTGCTGCCACCCCCTTCCTAAAAAAAATATCACCCAACCCCCTTCCACCACCACCCACCCGTCCACCCACACCATTGTAGAGTAGTTTATTGTACGCATCTCGAGGCTTCTGTTACTACAGCTTGCCCTTTTATGCTGAAAACAACACAGCAAGTCGAATTGTAACTGTGCTGCGTACAGGCCTTGAGGGTCTGTGCGCAGCATCAGCACCTTGGATAGCGCATTCGTGCACAAAGTATGCGCGACGGCGCTTCGCACACAACACAAATGTCCAAAACAAACGCATTATAGCACAAAATATGATCCCGGAAAACCAAACCTTTAAAGATCAAATCCTCTATCTCCAAGTCAAATCCCCCACGGTGGCACTTTTTCCACAGTCCGGTGATGGTGGAGTTGAATTGCCGACTGCAGAGGGACTCCATGGCCGGGGCAGGAGGCAAGAAGTGCCGCTTAGCCCGCAGCAGCATTTCGCCGCTCATCTTCTCCAAATGTCGCTCCTTTGGCAACATGCGAAGTGGAAGGTTGTTGTTGGAGATGTAAATGTAGCCGGGGTCGTTTCTTTTGTTTGAATAATTCTTGCAGCGTTCTCGGTGCCTCCTCGCGTCGGTCTCGTACCAGTTGTCAGTGCTGATAGCCACTGCTATCAGTCCCAAAGCGCAAAATGCCAAAAAGAGACCTGCCACGGTTAAAGTCCTCATAGCAGCCATGTTCCATGCGTATCTCGCCTCGGTGCCGTGATAATTCCACGGGACAGCAGGACTCTGCTGCTGGCTGCTGCTGTCAGTGTTTGAGGTGGGAAGGAAATTCAACAATACATGGAAATCTGAAAAGCAGGTAAAATCCCTAAGACGCTCATGTCTTAAATGTGGTAACCACCGCCGAAATAAGCCAAATTCCGAGGAGCAGGATAAATAAGGGCCTCAGTGAGCTATTTTGGCTGTCTCCTCGCTGCCTCTGAACTCAGTCTAGCCTAGATACTGGTCAGTCCAACATTTCTTTCCAGTAGATGGAGACAGAGCAAATATTTGAAAAGCACAACAAGCCCCCAGGCCTGCAGTTACAGTATGATCTGAAAGAATGGCCGAAGTTTGACACAGTCATACTAGAGGAAGTACCCTCAGGTTTTGACATTTTGTATCACCTCGGCTGCTGTTGTCTAAAGCGTTCACTTATGAAACACCGTCCATGTTAAACAGGCCATGTTAAACCCCTTAGAGGGCCTCGTTTTTTTCTGTCTGGTGTACAGGAAACTGTTTCATCACATCCAACAGATTGCCTCTGGTAACTTTCCATCTCAACATGGCCAAATGCATTACACACATCAAACAGTACAACAACAAAATAATGAAATATCTTTTGGTTCATTGTAATATTCTGAGAGAAGCTATACAAAATCATACTTTTCTAAAAGAATAAAAATAAAAATAGTTGTTTAGCCACAGCATATGTTTCAGGTATTATCTCTTTAGCTAATGTCTACCTCTAGCAGGAATACAAACACGTTTCAGGGACACAGTGGCTCCAAACATTTCCGTCATGTTTTCACTGGTTTCATTCTCATGGTCAATACTTCCTCAATTGAAACCATAATGCCAAACTAAAGAGGAACAAGCTTGATTCCAAACTCATTTTTGGTTTCGGCTCCTGTGTGCAGCAACTGTTAAAGAAATTCCTATCGGTAAATTTGTCCGGGGATTTGTTGTGATTGATGGTAAGGAAACAAGTAAATCACATTTTCTTGCACAGCAAGTGTAGGGAAGCCTGATATATGTTTCATCAATATCATTCTATTTAGCTTTTTTTAAGGGCACATGACTGCAGCACTTAGACTGACAAAGGGGGAAGTTAAAGCATACAAGTGCAGGCCATTATATGTGTGATAACAAATGTCTATTTTAACAGTGTGACAGTTTCTACAAATATCTTTAGAGGATTCATACATGCATCTATTTTTACTATTGTTATGGTTTTGGGATAAAAACAACTTTTTAGACAGCACCATACTACTACTTTTACTCTGGACCAATACTAAAATGTTTTAAATATATATCGTGTATATATAACTGCTTATTAAAACAGGTATCATTGTGAATCCTTGTACGATAACACCTCTTAAACATGCAAGAAATGCATGTACATATGATTGGCTCATACATGATACTCAGCCAACAGGAACAAGCTGATCATATGCATTTGACAATTGGATGATATGAACGCAGGCTCTATAGAGTCCAGTTTGTTTCTCACTTTCAGTTCCCATTTGTCTGGTGAAGTCAGCTCAGCGAGGTTGCGCGTTTCAGTGAAGCAATAAGAAAAAGTTGACGTCCAACACAAGCTTCAAGAACAAAGTTTCTCATGCTGCCTTGTTTACATGATGGACGGATATACCATATCATCTGTAAGTGCTGCTCTTTTATTGATTAATGTCTGATCTTTGTTCAGAGTTTGTGACATTGAGATAATATTTTCCTGTTTGTCAGGCTGTTTATTCTGTTTCTTTAGCTGTTTAAAAAAAAGAGGTTTTCTGGAAAGTAATTCTAGTGTCCAAGGTGGAACTTAGACATTCTCATTGCTGATTAATTATCTGAGAAGAAGATGAGGGCTGGGCGTTGTTCAACCAGGACATGTGTATTTGTTTTTGCTGTGAGAATTGGGAGAGTAACCTACACTAAACACAACTTTGTGTATGAACTTGTGTATTTCCTCTGGTGATCAGCTGCTCTGTTAATTTAATCTATTAATTCCCTGTCTTTATCTTCCATTAAAGTAATGAAGATCAAATAAATTATATAAATAAAAGTACTTCTAGAAGAACACAATGGACATATTTGACTTAATGTTGTCAGGAAAAAGAGACTCAAACTTTTACTTTCTCTGTGACAAAATAAATTTTTCCCCTCCAAAGGCGTCAGAGGAACTTGTTCCAAATGAACCAGATAATTATCGGCCACCTGCAGAGCTGTACCCATATCTCACTACTGTGGGGGAGATTTATGAAGGTGAGAAGACTGGATTTAACAATTGAAATGAACACGAATCACTGCACGACTGAGTGCCTGACAGTACTTTCTGTCACTTTTCAGACCATAGATGGACCTTCCACTCAGAGCGTGTCCAGCCGACGGACTTTGAGAATTCTCCAGTGAATCACCTCATTGAGCTTCAGTCTGTGTCTCCTCAACAACTGGTACAACCAACATACCGCTACAGCAGCGAGTCCATGCCCCTTCACCTGGACCCACCACTCGTACCCCTCTCTGTGTCACCACAAGTAAGTCCATGTGTAGAAATGGATGACGGCTCTAGTGTGAAGAGACGTAATCTATACATATGTGACCTGAAATTTTGAAATGAAATCATGATGTTCTGCAGTAAAAAGCTGCCTAAATAAGGATATACCAGGTCAGTTTCAAACCTGATGTTATTGAAAAGACAGGAGCTAAAGCACAAAGACAAACTAGGGTTTTGTTAATTTTTTCTACTTGTTTTTTAGTTAAGTTTGGTACTAATTTAATACAGCATGTTCCCCTTTCAAGTGACATTATTGCAAATCAAGATGTTAACAAGGCCACTAACAATTCTTCATTTAGTCCATAAAATGTCAAAAAACTGCATAAAATGCCCATCATTATTTTACTCATTCAAATGGCTGGATTTATCCAACCAACAGTCTAAAACACAAAGTTATTCAATTTAAAACAGAGCAAATCAGTAAATGTTTATAGTTAAGAAGCTGCAGGAGAAGGGAATTTGGGAGATTTCTGCTTGAAAAATGACCAACAATCAACACTGTTGCTGTTATACATTTATATACATGTTGAATACAAGGTCAAACAGAAAGGTTTTTGTTTTTCTCTTCATTTATTGCTGCCAACATAATAACAACACAATACATATTTTAGGATATACTTTGAAGAAAACAGCATGGATTTAGATACAATGAAATCTAAAAGAAAAAGAGGAATCTCACCTCTACAAATACATGATGTGGACAGTCAGGGATATTTTCTCTGAAATGTTGTCTACATCACATGGTCTTCCAGAGCATTGAATTCTATTTTGGCAGAGTTACTTCCTCTTTTAGCACAATGACTGAATGTTAAAGAAAAATGTCAAAACAAAAGAAAATTGCAGCTCTATCACTCCTCTGTGGAAACTTGAACCATGACATGCTTTAAATTTCACGTACAGATCCCATATTACACCCCATCCCTGTGCTACCAGTACCAACCCTCTGCCTCGCCTGGACATTACTACTCAGAAGAGGAACAAAGAGGAATCAGTCCTCCGCTCGAGGTATCAGACGGGGAGGAACTTGAAGACCAGAACCACTCCTTCAGGAAAGACATTAGTGAGTATTTCCAATGTATAAATCTACTGCAAGTCACATACATATAACGCCTGAGGAAACTGCCAAACTAAATTGCTTGACTGAGTCTCATATTTTCAAATCCAGGCAACAAGAAGAAAATCCGCTTGTACCAGTTCCTCTTGGACTTGCTAAGAAACGGTGACATGACTGATAGTATCTGGTGGGTGGACCAGGACAAGGGTATCTTTCAGTTCTCCACAAAACACAAAGAAGTCCTGGCCAGCCACTGGGGTACTCAGAAAGGAAACCGTAAAAAAATGACCTACCAAAAAATGGCTCGAGCTCTGAGGAACTATGGTAAATCTGGAGAGATTAAAAAAGTGAAGAAAAAGCTTACCTACCAGTTCAGTGAGGAGGTGCTGAGGAACCTCTACTTACGCCAGTATCCTCACTGATGAGGGAACACAGGCTGTCTTTCATTACGCTGAAATCACTAAACTAGCCAAGATTGTGTTTTTCCTGTATGCAATTTCACTTCGTTTTTCTACCAAGTTTTCTTACATAATTTATTTTTGATGACGGTGTAAATCCTCTCCTATGCCATTTGCCTCTATAAACTTCTTCATTTTAGACTCAAATGGAGTTTGCGCATGTAAATTTAAGTGTTTGTGTACAAGGATTAAAGGATTATTAAACATCAGGGACAACTAAAAACAACTGTTTTTACATAATCTTTTGTCATGAATGTCTGGTTTGTCAAATGAACTGAATCCATCTGTAAACGCACACAAATTATGTTCTGGCCTATAGTGAATATGTGTCATATAGTCCAGAGCATGATGTGGCCCATTTCTAATTTAGGGAAATTTGAGTGTCAGAGCTGAGCAACATGGCTGCAAATTAATGTCACTTTTTTTAACCCTGGTCCAAATGGGAAAAGGGGGGGAGAGCAAACGTCAGATGTGTAGGTGGTAAAAAGCTGTGGGAAATAGTGAAAAGACAGATAATTGAAGCATTCAAACAAGAAAAAGTAGCAGAGACGTGTGTGCAAGATAACTGGAAAAACTTTAAATGCAGATGTAGCTTTGTGTATGGAATCTGTACAGAGCCTACCTACGAAAAAGGCATTTGGCTGCTGGAAGGGCCTGACCAAGACCACAAAATCTGTTGTGGTCCATGCCAGCCTGGAAAAAAACACACTACAGATAAACACACAGGCAAAAGTAAAGTGTGCCATTCACACAAGAGTAACCATATAATATATATTCATAGACCTCACCTTAAGCAAAAACCGATATGAGAAACTAAACGGCACAAACGAGGGCTGAGACAGACCCAGATAGAAATAGACTGGGGAGCCATGGTCTGAAACCAAGAGTTAGACCTGAGAAAAATAAGGGAGTTAGATCTGTCTACAGTTAAGTCTTTGTGATTAAACTTTAGCATATGAACTTAATAAAGGCCCATTCATTTTAACTACCTCCCAAAATAAAGGGGAACCAATGGCATTGTGATAGACTCCCTAACATCAGTAGAAACCTTTAGAAGAATTTTACTTTTTTTATTTTTAAAAATGATTTATTCCTTACCTAATATCAAGCATCAATTATGTGAAACACGGTATTAAATATTGCTTGTGTCTGAGTAGTAAAATATCCCAAATAAAATAGATGACAATACATGTAAGTGCATAAATTATAAATAATGAAAATAAACAATATACATAACTAGAAATGGTCTTCCATTCAAGGTTGGTACATTCCAGGTCTAATGATTTCTGCAATCTTACATCTTTAAGCAGTTATTTTGCAGATTTCATACATACAGGCCTATATTTCAGGGATTTACAATATAGTTGAAATGCATTACAAAAAGCAATACAAATGGATGGAGTTTTCATAAATTTGACTTTGTTTATATAATATTTTGCCATCCACACATTACATCTACATGTGGTTGGAGTTCGACATGTTATTTTTTTCTATTCTTTCATTTGTTTCCAACACAGCAAGAGGAAAATAAAATATGCTCTGTGGTTTCAATGTCAAAATAACGGACATCACTTTCAAAACGGATTAATTTGAAACGATAAAGTACCGCCCCCCAGAACAGCTTCCGCCAACGTCATCCGTCAAAGCAGCCAATCGGAGTCCAGGCGTTGTTCCGGTGCAGATTTCAAATCCGTCGAGTCGACAAGCGAGCTGGTGTCCCGTCAACCGTAGCCACACCGACGTTGATTTGTTTTTCCGAGACCGATTTTTCTAACTAACCCGTTAACGAAGATTGTTTTTAACATATATGTTGTAAGTTTGAGGAGCAATATGAGAGTAAGGTTAGTAACGTGACATTTTAATTATGGAACAATGACAATCAGTTAGCAAACGTATTTCCCGACTAGCCTGTCGATAGCTTAGCTTAAGCTAACTAGCTTTAGCTACTGTGAGCAGACGCACACAGCTCGTGTCGCTTTGGGACAGATGTTCTGTCTGCGTGTGCTGCAATGACACATGTTGTGGTAATCACTCATGCTCGATCTGGTATTTTATTTAGCGTTACAACGAACACTAATGCGCGTGGAAGCTAGCTAACGTTAGCTTGCTCAGCGGCTGAAACGATTGAGGCATTTACCGTTAGTAACTTTAGCAGAGAGCTAACAGTCTGATACCTGATTTTAAATGACTCGCTCGCGCTAATGTTAATATTGGTTTTACTGGTAACAAGTGTTGAACCTACAGGACACGGACTCACTCGCACCAATGCTTTTCTTTCCAGTGAAGTCCACGCAGCAGAGTGTGGTGCATATCTTAACAGAGCCCAGATCAGGCTGCAGGACATTTGGGATGAAATTGGGATTCCAGAGGAACAGCGCGTCCAGAGAACAAATGATGTTCACAAGCACATTAAAGTGAGTCTCGTATCAATTTAAATTAGATTTAAAGTCTGGTTGTTGACCTCGCAGAGCTAGCAAATTGACCCGTATTCTTGTTTTGTCTTGTCCCGCAGGCTCTGCTGGACCTAATGATTACGGAAGAGGAGGAGCTCAAGAAGAGATTAATGAAAAGCATAGAGTCCTGTATAAAGAAACTCAATCACTTGTGCACTGAACTTCAGCTGCCCCCATTTAAGGTACAGTCTTTTATTTGTATTTGTTTAATATGTGGTTTTCATAAACCTGTCAGGGAAAATTACTAATATGTTTGGACTAACTCTGGATTTCTGCAAAGGAGGAAGATGGCTGCTCCATGTTGCAAATCGAGAATAATAGCCGCACACGTCTAGAGCTGATGATGGAGCAGAAGAAGAAGAGAATGGAAGAGCTCAAGGGCCTCATTGCCAAAGACCGTGAGCTGTGTGATATTTTGTGCACTACCCCATTTTGCATTGACCATGACGCCGTCCCCTCACTGAATCAACTTGAGACGTATCATGCCTACCTGGATGATCTCACCAAGGAGAAGGTATAACTGACGTTCTGGTTGTCTTAATTATTAGTGCCTTTTCTTATTAGGGTTGTAAGTTAACCTGGCTCGTTTTTTCAGGAGCGACGTCATGATGAATTTGTAGGCGTCAAAAGGGAGATCGTCGTATTCATGGATGATCTGGAGCGACACCCAGAGACGAGCTTTGAGACGGATGTGATGTGTGAGGATGAGGAGGCATTTTGTCTGTCAAATGACAACATTGCTGCTCTCAAACTTCTCCTCAGTCAGGTAATTCTATAATATTTGCCATTAGATGTTTGTTATTCTGACCCTATGATTTAAGTCTACGATATCATGTATTATAATTGATGTATTCTTTTTATGCCTCCTCCCAGTTAAAAGAACGCAAGGCTAAGAACGAGGACCGTTGTGCAGCTCTCCGTTCTAAGATCCAGGAGCTGTGGGAAAGACTTCGGACTCCCCAAGAGGAGAGGGAAGCCCTCTCTGAGCACATGCTTATGTCAAAGAAGAGAAACATCGAGACAGTAAGAAATCTGGCTCAGATTAACCCATTTCAGGCCATGCGTTGGTGTGTTGTTTCACCAAACATTTACATAACACATTTGAGTGAGTATTCTGTCTTTCCAGCTCCAGGCTGAGGCCCAGCGTCTAGAGGAGCTGAAAATGCAGAGCATGAAGTCTGTCATCGAGGCCATCAGAGCTGAGATCGCTCTTTTCTGGGAACGATGCTTCTACAGCCAAGAACAGCAGCAAGCTTTCGTTCCATATCATGATGGTGAATAGTTGTGGTATAATGACAATGCCCTTGCACTGAATATATGCCGTTGATAATCGCAAAGTGTATTCTTAATGCGTGTTTTATTTCCCCAGATGATTTTACTGAAGAGCTTCTCAACCTGCATGAGGCAGAGGTCGGGACCCTGAAGGTGTGTTTCGAGGACCACAGGGAACTCTTTGAGGGAGTCACAAAATGGCAGGAGAACTGGACCTTGTACTTGGAGCTTGACGTAAGTACTATCCTCATGAGTTTAGTGGGGAAGCATTTAAAACAAACGTATCTTGGTGTGGTTACGTGTGGTTGTATGTACCTATCTCAGAAAAAGGCGAATGACCCCTCGAGGTTCAACAATAGAGGTGGGAACCTTCTGAAGGAGGAGAAGCAGAGAGCTGACCTGCAGAAAAGTTTGCCTAAGGTGAGGAAGGTTTAAATATTATTCTATTCTATTATTGAGATGTTCAGTTTATACAAAATCAGGATTGCAATTCAAATAATGTCACGCTTGTAAGGGAAGCTGTTAGTGGGGATAAAAAGACTAATTAGCAATAAAACAAATGAGCTCAAGGGAACCGCATGTGAGGAGAGGGGAAACAGCTCTATGGTTGTTGGTGCATTACTGATTTTGTTCAACAGGTGGGGATGTTCAAACTAGCATAATCTCACTCTGTAGTTCCTGTGCAAAATTGTAGCCACCAGATTTAATATAGATAGAAATTGTGACTGTTATGTAATGTAGTCTGCTGTCGATGGGAAGTGTGAACATGTACACGAGGTAAAATCAGTGTTTCCCTTTTTGTTGCAGCTGGAAAAAAGTCTTAAAGCTCAAATTGATGCTTGGGAGGAGGAGCATTGCAAAGAATTCCAGGTCAACGGACAGCAATTTCTAGAGTACGTGCAGCAGCAGTGGGATCACCACCATGCTGATAAGGAGAAGGAGAAACTGGAGAGGGTGTGTTCTTACTAAGATTTAAAAAAAAAAAATGCATTTCTTTCAGTCTTAATTTTCCCCCGTCTCAAAAGGATTGTCAATATGACTACATTCTTCTTTTTGTGTCAATTAGCAAATGAAGAAAACAAAACAGACACAGGAGGACATGTTGTATGGAACTTCAATGAGAACGCCATCCAAAAGGCGGATGGCAGGGACTCTCACACCTGGAAAAGTGAGAAAGGTAAGATTGTCCTGCAGTTTTGTTGGATTTGTTGTTTCACCAGTGCATGTGCAGAGTGACACTAACTGACTGACGGTACCGTGGTGAATGAATAGTTTCAAACAACATTTCCTTTGGTCCCCTCAGCTCAACGGCACCTCAACCTTCTCCACTCCTACCAGCTTCCTTAGTTCAGGCCTCGGTGGAACCATGTGCCTGCCCTCCACCCAGAAACCACCTCTGTCTGCCAGCAAGGTATATTCAGTCCGTTTGACTCATCTCATGGACAACATTCATATCCACATTATGACGGACCCTGTAGGTTAGATTGCTAAGCTCTCTATCTGGCTGGTTGCACAAAAATATCCCGTAGTTTAAGATTTTCCTTAGTCAGAGTTAAGGATTCCTTCAGATGTAATTGGTTGCTCCTTATTAACCGTTTCCTTGAATTGTTCGCTTAAAGTTTTCTCCTTGTCTCATACTTAAGGAATCCCTTAAGTATCGTTCGTTAAACTGTATCTTAACCCATTTGTGAATAAGACAACCCATCTGTCGATTGTATATGATACTTATCAGCGTGAATGACGGTCTGCAAAACTCTAACGCAAGCTACACTTGTGATGCTTGGATGTGGCGGCTTTGCAGGAGCGTACTGTGAATGTGTGATGTTATAGATATTTTTTTGCAAGTGTGTTTCCAATTCTTTTTTTACCTGTAGTCTGAAATTAAGTCAAATGAAAAAGCACATCATCATGGTCTTGTTGTAGGGTTTTGGCCTGCGACCCCCTGGACAAGGAAAGACTCCCCGTGCACTAGACAGAAACAAGGAAAACCTCTCCCATCTAAGAAACACTCCAAGTGGCACACTAAGGTCTCAGGATACTCAAGATCACACCTTCACCTCCAACTCTGTTGCGGACTTCTATTCGGAATTTTCGGTAAATCTAGTTTTACATTTGTTTAGTTCATCCCTCACCATAAAAAGTCTGCTAACATACAATCTTATACTGATTTTTATTGGATTACAATAGTACCATGAAGTACTGTAGGATTATATAGTTAACTTCCACCGTTTGGCATCATTAAGCTAAATCAGAGTTTCTGTTAACAGCTGTTGGACCAGGAACTGTAAGTCCCAGAAAATACACTTTTTATGTCTCTTCATATATTTTTTGTATTTTAGCTGTTTAGTAAAAATGTGGGTATTTATGAAATGAAGCCAAAGCTGCATAATGTCTGGAAACGGATAATCTCATAGTGGTAGACCATGGATACAACAAATAAACATATCGGATTGTTTTTATGAGCAGTGAATCATGAGGAAAATGTGAAAAGGATTGGAACCTTTTCACACTTTTCTCAACTGTAAATGCTTAACAACTCCTGACATACCAAAGACTCAATCACTTGTTTCCTGGGCTACAGTTTAACTCCACTAAATATTAACATTTAGCGTTTTATGTTACCGTGCCGCAACATTTTGACTCCTTCAATATGAACAAAGATCCTGACCGGTCGTTTTCACTTTTCTCCACAGAGGCACCTCTCGACGGCCTCTAAATCAAATGCGAAGTCCGGACTGCTGAACTCTACTGTCGGCCATCAGTGATGCCGTCCAGTCGGCTGCTCCGGCACCACAAGTCATCCAGCTCTGATGTAGTTTGGTGTAATATTCAGATGGTGGACAAGCGGGAACATTGATGTAAACTTATACAAAACATGTAAATATTTCGGGTCTCTAGCAATTCTCTTTTCCTTAAACTGTATTCCAGGGTGAGCCCTACTGTTTTCTCTGCTGTATTTGGGGCAAGTTATTGATGATTGTAGCAAGTCAGATATGGCTTTTTATTTTAAGGCTACAGCTTTTTAAATGTAACTTTAACCATATCTTGAGCACTACTTTGTTGTAGTGCTGTAGCAGCTAGCCAGAGCACCATGGCTTTATTCCTCCAGCTGGGATGACGGCTACGTTTGCTCTTCATAGTGCTTTTTTTTCAAAGATCAAGCTGTAAATAAACGTTGACACCTATTTATGATTTTGTCATTTCTAATCGTACATGACTGTTTTCATTCTAGCCTGTATAGTTGAGTTACACAACATTCTGAGTCCCAGTCAGAAGGCATATCTGTTAAGTGAAATATTTTGACCACATACTGATCATAGTACATACTGTTTATGGCAAATGATATTTCAATGGCATACATCTCATTCAACTCGGTGTCAAAAGGCGCAGGAACTCGGCAGCCTGGAAGAATTTATAGTGCGTCGTCATACACATTAAGGTACGCTGACTATCAGGCATCCCCTTTCTCTCAGTTCCTCCTTCACTTGATCGTCGTCATAACCTCGCTCACAGACGGTCGCTGGTTGTGTATTTTAGGATATTTTGATTTGAGAATATTTTTTCCTACATTTAAATTTGTTTTTTTACACAGGAAATATTTTTATGAGAATTGATGGCATACTATGTTTTGACATACCATATATGATTTTTTTTAATGAAATATATTATTTTCATGACATTCTATCCTATGACTTACTACATTTTCATGACATGGTCTGACTTTTTTTTCAATACTATACAATTACTTTTTTTTATTTGATTTTACGACACTGATCTTTTATGACATACTTTATTATGGCTTTAATGACAGACTACTAGGATTTTTATGACATACTATGACTTGTGACATTTTGACATGGCTTTTTTGTTGCATTTTATATTATGACATTTTATATTATGACATTTTAGTGACATGCTATAGTGTGGCATTTATATTTTGACATTTTTATTTCAATATAAATTTTGTATTGTATACCCAAGCTGAGATTTTTTTCTGGCATACTGTAGTGACATTTACATATTTCTTATTTCATATTATACTGACATTTTTTGACACTAGTCTGGCATTTTATGGCATATTACACTGACATTTAGGTTGGACATCGTTGTGGCATATGAACATTTTAATAACATTCTATAGTATGGCATTATCGTGGCATACTGTATTATGACTTTAATTTTTTCATTAAATCATTTTTATTGTGTACTTTCCGATAATAAAATGTGCTATGGCTATTGTATAGTATGCTTGTTGCTTTGTATTGTATATGATATGCAACAGGCAAAGTAAGCACTGGAATATGAATGTACTGAGATGTGTTTTTGTTTTCATTGTACAGTGCAAGTGTGTTTTCCCTTTTTTCTTATTATGGTCCTGTAGTCTGAAATAAAGTCAAATGAAAAAGCAGATATTCATCATTATGGTTTTGGCCTGCAAACCCCTGGACATAAAGAGAGTCCCCGTGCACTAGACTGAAACGAGAAACATTTCCCACCTTAAACACTTTAAGATATTTTTAATCATTTGTAATTGTAAGCTAGTGTTATCATTCTAGCCCGTATAGTTGAGTTGCACAGGTTGTATGTTAATCTCGAGTTAGTCAGTAAGTAAGTCAGAAGGCAGTATCTGTTAAGTATAATGCTTTGACCACATACTGTATACATACTAGTACATTTCACACGCTGTATTGTAGAAAATAATCTATTCTCCACACAGACTAGAAATGGGAAGATATTCTGTTTAAGCCATGCGTGTCATGAGTTCTTCAAGAGCCCTCTCGCGGTGATTTTCATGAACAAGCAGCACTTCTTTGATTGCATTTTGCTGGAAGCCCATCTCATTAAACTGAGTCAGAAGGCGCAGGAACTCAGCAGCCTGAAATTGAATTGAAAGTAAGTAATGACACACAGAACGGTGTGGCTGTGGTGTTGCTTTTTTGTAACCTTTTGGCAAGAAACCACCGACGAGCGGTAATCACCTTGCTTTCGCAGTTCTGAAACATCTCCAAGGCCTCCTCCACCTGAGCTTCATCATAACCCAACTCACACAGACGATCACTGGCTACCAGGTACTTTAGGATCTGTTGATAAGAGGGACAAATAATTGAGAATGACAAGCTGGGTCTTGTTGAAGTACAAATAGCACAAGTTAGATTTCTAGGTAATTGTAAAGAAAAGTCTTGTGTATCGGGTTTTAAATGAATTATGCTTGAGTATCGATGCTTGACAGGTCACTACTAAGCTTTTATGATTGCATTAATAAGACCCATTTAAGTAAGGATCTGTTTTGTTGGTCTGCAACTTTTTTCAATTACAACAAATTTAAATGCAGGTTTATTCTATTGTGTGAGTTTTTGATTTTATAATTATCAAGCATGCAGCAACTGAAGGGTAACTCAGACGTGTTTTATTTATGCATTATCAGGGTTTATAAACCATTCAAGATGTGTTGATTGAAGTAATTATCGCAAAGATTTTCATTTAAACAAATGTCTGTTGGGTCACTATCTATTGCTGAATGAGGTAACACAATGGTGATTGAGCAAATGACCCACTTTACAGTTTTACCAACTGGGAAAAATCTATAGCGGCGCCACTTTTTGGACATTTAACTTTACCAAAAATGTTTGAAAGTGGTGCCTACCTTCTCTGGGCTGTGGTAGCCTGTCTTTTGCAGAGCCAGAATAGCTGTGCGTAAAGGGTAGCCCTTCTCTGTGATGGTTTCAAGTAGCTCCCTCTCTTCCTGGCTGAGTGCTGACAACAACTCTGCTGCTGAGTCAAAGAAAACCCCACGAGAGTCACCGGTCCTCAGTGCCTGGTGACATGGGAAGAACAGATAGTGGGTTATGGAAGAAAAGAAATGATACATATTTTTCTCAGAGACACAAACAGAAAAAAACAAAAAACCTTCTGTCTGTAGTTCGTGACGACGGGCCCTGCAGAGGAGGGTCGTTGCTGCTGCAGCCTGGGTGGAGAGGGTGGTGTGTTCAGGGAGTACTTTCTGCCCACAGAGCCCTGTGAACGCTGCTTCTTTTTGCTGTTCTTCTGCCCATGGGGGAGGGGGCTGGCCTGCTGGGACCTGTGCTGCTCCACTGCTCGCAGAGGTTGTCTGCAGTCTTGCAGAGACAGTAAAGAGCCTCTGAGGCTCTGAGGTGAGGCAGGCTTATAGTGGTGAGTGGAAGGACCAAGGTGCATGTCTTTGACTCTGGAGAGTTGGTCTTTGGGTGCCGCGCTCCGGGGCCGCTCTCTGCTCTTGATGGAGCGAGGTGCATCTTCTGCAGAGGAGGCTTCATTATCCTCTTGGTAACCATCTTCATCCTCAGAGTCAGATATGAAGAACCTGACGGTGCGATAGTGCAGCCAGCGAGTGTCTGCAGAGTTCAGGCTGTGACTGCGGGGCCGGGGGCCCGGGGACCTTGGGTCGCCGCTCCTGCGACTGGCCTTGCGGCTCTCCTGAGGGCTGCTGAACATCAGCCAGTAGGGAGGGCAGGATGGGGCCTGACAGACAGGCTGTTGACCAGTTAAGATCCATTTCTCCAGGTTGAAGCCATACTGCAGTGAAAACGAACCAAAACAGATCTTCAGCAAAACACTTTTTACACAGCAGAACTTGACTTGACTAGCAGGGAGGCACAGGTGTTGTGACTGTGAGCCAGCATGCACAATACCAGGACTGTGAATCTGAAGCAGCTAAATGGAATTCAGCCATGATTAATGTTATTATTTACCCCCTTTTGTCACATGCCAAAATAATATCTTCCATCAAAAAACACCTATGAGGGTAATACTAATAATTAAGTACCTCTTACCTGTAGTGGTATTTATGAATCTAGATTCTTTTTTGGAGATATCAGCAGTAAAGATGTCTGCCTTCTGTCAAATATGACGGGACTATATGGCACTCAGTTTGTGGTGCTCAAAGAGACAAAACAATACATTTGAAAAACTCAGTAGCAATGTCTCTTTCCATTGTATTCCCACTAAAATATTCTACATTGATAAATAGCACTTCAGGTAAGAGGTAAAATATGGATTTTGGGGTTAACTTTAAAATATAAGGAGATATACATATTGATTTTTTCTTTTCTGGGCTGTGACAAATCTAATGTAGTAGCAGTGGCACTCCAACAGGAATTAGGTATTAGAAATAAATGTACAATAAGTGAAACATATTCCCAACAATTTAACAGATGAATAACTAGAGGAAAGCTGAAAGCCACCGAGTCAGACAGATCACTGCTGATGAATTGATCCCAGAAAGATATTAAACTTGTGAACGTGAAAGAAATGGATGTGCGACCTCGGTGTCTCGTAGGATCCGATGGCAGTCTGGTATAGTGATGTCTGGAGCCGTCACAAGCTGCACTTCCTCCTCCAGTGGACCCAGTATGCTCAGAAATGGGACATCCTCCAGAGAGTTCATATTCTCCAACAAATAAACTGCATCAGGAAAAAAAACACAAAGAGTTACTGAGTTCGAAGTTATTAAACCAGAACTTCATCGTAGTTGTAATAAAACCTACCGTTGTCAGGTATTCTCCTTCTTCACAGCCCTCTGAAGCATTGATGGGCGTTTGGAGTAAATGACTAACACAAAGATGATGTACGTGATAAGCCTCTTCATCACTAAGCCTCTGACATCATCGTCAGCTGTTTACAATATCACCCCACAGGCACCTGTTATAATCCTACCTGCACATGTGCAGTACAAACAGGAGTATTGAAACATACATACATAGAAATATATACCAGAGTAATACTAAAAATATTCTAAATTAGCAAATATATAAATATATTTATAATTATGTTATGCTTTGCTACTAATACATTGACAATAGAAAACGTTATCATCTTTTAGTCAATCTTTTCCTTTTTTCCTTCCATATTCAAAGGCACGTTTCAGACAGTGTGACTTTGTAAATTCAATCTGGACCTGAAGGAGATTAGGGATTGAGAAACAGCACAATACTTTCCAGAGATTAGCCGATTACATAAAGGTGGCAGCGTAACAGGGTGGAACAACATTGTGATGTCTATGATATTGATTTTCCTCTATCGCTGATTTGTTGTGTGTTGAGAATATCTGACAAGGATTGTGTCACACTGACTTTGGTAAATTAATCAATTTAAAGTGCACGTTCTGTTGACAAGTTTAAACTTAAAGAACAATTCTGTACAGAGATTTACATTTTATTTATATATTTTCAACAATCACAAATAATTTCAGATTCACAAACTGGGGGAGTTTACAGGTTCTGTAACAGACCTCTGAAAACAGAAAATCAGTTTTTAAACTGAACTGAAGGAAAAGGAAACTTAAAAGCAAAGAGAGAACAGATCTAGTTTAATCTCATGTTCTAGCACAAACAGCATGTTAAAGAGTACAGCAGCGTGGTTCGGTTAAGTCAGAGAGCATTCAGACTTGATTACAGACGTGTGTATTGAGACACCATTTAGTAACAGGATATTACATCACTAACACTGAGGTGGGTTTCCAACGCTGGGGCACGCACAATGAAAATAAATACCTGCGCCGTTCTTAAGGGTCGTCTGACAAAACAGGTTGAGAGCGGCATCCAGCCAACTGTGAAAGAGATGATCTGTCCAATTATGATTTGAATCACAATAATGAAGGTTCAATATCAAATTAAAAAATATGACTTATTCATGTACTGTATGTTGGAGGATATCTACTACAAAGCAACGTCTCAGAGGATAATTATAGAACACATCGAAGTGATCTGGCAACCTGCTAATCCTGCTTTGAGAGGCAGCCGTGTGATCCAGTCCGGTGATGATAGGGTCAGCAAGTGAACCGATACATTCCCTAAATGGTGGGCTACAAGTGGAAGCAAAACACTTAAAAAACACACCATTCTGTCTGTTTAAAAGGTCACCATTGTTTAACACCTGCTCTGTTTAGTTTGCTGATGCGTTACACTTCACAATGTGGGCTCCTAATTAGAGGTCGTGTCATAAAAACTGCTTACAAATGCCACCTAAGCAGCGACCAGTTTTGCTGTGAGCACCATTATTACAATGGTGGTGAAGAAGAAAACGTTGAAATATTGATGTGCTTATGGAATATTATGTCCTTATGATGTAAGGCATTACTCAACATGTTTCCATCACATCGACACTTACTCCGCTCCACTTCTTTTGAAGTGCACAGTATGATCCCATCATTTCCATTTGCTTTCCTTGCTATTACAGCCCATCGCCACAAAAAGAGAACACAAATAAACTAGCTACAAATCCTTCCGTGAATAAAATTGCATTATCTTTATATAGATAAAAATGTTGACAATCCCCAGAGATTGAAATATTTTATGAAGGTCCACCCTGTGAGTGCACCGCTAGAGAATTAACAGCTGATGCACAGGACCAAAGTTTGTTACACTCTCTTAACTTGTTGATCAGGAAAACACTCTTCAGTGAAAAACACCAGACTTCATTATTACCTCGACTACAGTGTCCACAGCTCGTTTGTCAGAGGCTATAGTCAAATCCAGAGTTGGATTTAAAAGGTTCATAATGATCTAATGATTTCACAGACTGTCCTTTAGGTGAAATGAGTGACACGGATCAGTTGTTAGCAGCGTCCGCCTGCCGAGGCCAGTTCTCCTCCTCGATGCCCGAGTCATATTCCTCTTCTGCAGACTCCTTGGCGGGGGCTCTGCAATTCAAATGGAAACTCCAGTTCAGGTTCCAGACAACACAACGTTGGGGACTCGGTGAGCTCGGCTTAAGGAATCTGATCACTAACATTGTACACTTGTAGCACTGCACTGTGAGCGGAGAGATACTGACCTGATATAACTCGGTAGGGATTTTCCAAGAACAATGTCTTTGGTCAGCTCAACAGCCATGATGTCAGAGTGTGGCACCTCAAACATGGGCTCGAGAAGGAGCTTTTCCTATAAAAAAATGAGGATATGCTTAATTATTGTGCTACGTCAACATAGAAATGTATGTGTGATAACCCATGGCAAAAATCACATACCATGATGGATCTGAGCCCACGAGCTCCAGTTTTTCTCTCCAGAGCCATCCTGGCTATGGCCTTCAGGGCATCTGGAGTCACGTTGAGTTCACACTGAGACGAAACACACAGCAGATTCATTTCAATTCCAAATATCCAGTTGTTCAGGTATGAACCCATACAGATAACATTTTAACAGACGTGTAGGTCTGATTCAAGAAAAAGGTGTTGCCTTTCCGGTACCAGCAGAAATACTGTGGTAATTTGACATTACACGGTAATCTACCAGGAATGTGCCCTTGCAGGCATTTGACTAGATGACGCGGCATTGCGTTGTGGCAACAGCTGAGCCAGAGCCCCCTCGTTGGTCTCATTCAAAATAAAGAGTGGGCTTCTGCCTGTCTGAACACGGCTTAACACTGTACTATAGTGCCCGTTATAGGAGCATCCTTACTTTGTCCATGCTGAACAGAGCCTGGTACTGGGGCACCACGGCGTTGCGTGGTTCAGTCAAGATTCGGACTAGCGTTTCTTCATCCAGGCTGTGCAGAGGCACGACCACGGGAAGACGACCAACGAACTCTGGGATCATTCCAAACTCGATGAGGTCCCTGGCCTCGACGACCTTCAGCAGCCTGTCCTTCTCCTCGATCTCCGCTACCGTGTCCGTCTCACCGCTGGAGTTGGCCAAGTCAGCGGCAGCCGCTGCACGCCGCCCTTTCCCCATGTTGGCTGGAGTTCCAAAACCCAAATACTGAAGAGTCACGAAACAAGAGGATCACATTAGAGGCAGGAATGAAGAAATAAACAAACAGGAGTGGAGACCGAGTATCAGCCGACAGTCGGCGCATACGAGCCGTGTTAAATTTACCTTTTCATTCTTTCTTCTGCTGATGATTCTGTCAAGTCCGTTGAAAGCACCAGACGCCACAAACAGAATGTTTGTTGTGTCCACCTGCACCGTCTCTCCTCTCAGCTTCCTGGAGTTTTTCTCAGGAACATTGACGATCGTGCCCTCCAAGAGTTTGAGCAAACCCTGACAGAGAGGAAAATGAAGTAAATGTTAATAACACAAGTTTCTCTCACAATGTTATTCTGAGATTAATGTCTATAAACAAACCACATTAAAGTTGAATACCGACCTGCTGGACTCCCTCTCCTCCTACATCTCTCAGCTGATGGATTCCAGGCACACTGCCAATCTTATCAACCTCATCCAGAAACACAATACCTGCACATGAAATGCAATGACAGCGCCATGTTTACATTTCACAATAACATGAGCTTACGCTATACTAAACATAATCCACTTTTAATCATTTGAAAACGGTTCAAATGTGAAGAAAACACTACGAGACTCAACAGTTGCAGAGCAGCGATAAGTCAGCTCTGTAAAAATGAAACTGATGTTTACTTTCGTTAATCCTCAACTGTTTTTTTTAAAAATTCTTACTGATAACATACCCAACAAGATCGAGCATAGGACAGAAACATTGTTCTCATCGTGTCGTGATGTTCATAGTGACTGAATCAGTTTAACTTTGAGATTTGTGCCTTTTTATTTACATCCGACTTGTTTGTGTATTCTGATCATCATATAAAAAGGTGAGAAAACATGCAAGTACACCATTTTTCAAATTCTACCTTGCAGAACATGAAGTTTCTGGACTACCGCTGCCTCGATCGGTTCGGTTTTTTGTGTTCTTGTGCGACTTTGGTGAATCCAAACTAACCTTTAAAACACCAGTCACGCAGTCACACAAAGAAACGAACCAATCGAGGCAGCGGTAGATCAGCAACCTGTTCCTGCAAAGCGAAAATCACTGTTTTTGTCATCGGAGTCTTGTGGTATTGATATTTCTAGGCGAGCCTCTCTTTTAGGTGGTAAAATATGTTTTGCTGCCGCCCCGGTCCACAGCAGTGCTTTGCTTTGCTACTGTGCCGGTACTGCTGTCTGTTTCTCCAAACTGGGGGTCATGCTGACCGTCATCTCCAGTAGGTTATTAAGTCAGTCCCTCTGCCCACCTTGTTGTGCTTTTTCCACTGAGTAGTTGGAATCTTGCAGCAGCTTGGCAATAACTGACTCGATGTCTTCTCCCACGTATCCAGCTTGAGTGAGTGTGGTGCAATCGCATATTGCAAACGGAACATCCAAACAACGGGCCAGCGTCTGCGCCAACAACGTTTTACCTGTGACAAATTTGACAAGACAGGTCCATTTACAGGTGAACTGCCTATGTAGCGGCGTACATCCTTATGATCTGAGTGTCACTGTCATATATTACTAAACACCAACCTGAGCCAGTTGGACCTAGAAGTATGATGTTGCTCTTCTCCAGCTTAATGTCAGTGTGTGTGGAGTCCAGGACCTCCCCGCCCCTCTTCTCCTGAGGTGCCTGCTGGCTCGCCTGCTGCTGCATGGACGCTCCCAGAGCATTTCCATGAGGACTGATGCCTGCAATCTGCAGCAGTTCTGCAACAACAAGAAAAGTCACAGGGGGGTTAGCGTTGTGACTGAAAAGTAAGAACTTCTCCAGAAACTATATTTCAAAAATCACTATAAAAGACTGAATGCTAGTGGGTCAACTTATCTGATATTCTCCGGTCAGTCAAAGACTCAGTTTATAAGCTCATTTGTGTGCATGGTGAATTGATAGTCGCTGCTCAACTGGAGCTGTATTTCCTCAAATAAAATGAACTGCATCATCTGGGTTATTGCTTAATGATCTGGTGTTTTGATTAAGCTATAATCTTTCTTTAGGTTGAGCATGACTAGAAATAAGTCACTAGAAATATCTGCCTGGAAAAGGTGGAACAAAGCTCTGAGGAGCCACAGCTGTCTCTATATTTTGGCATTTGTGCAACTCATGACAATAAAGACAGAAATTGCAGTTCAAGTGTTGTGATTTTTTAAGTGGCCTCTGATAGAAACAACAGTAAGGAGGACCAATCACTTACTTGTGAACCTGTACTCATCCTCTCGTCTTCTCATCTCTAGTTCTACAGGAAGAGGAGGAAAGTACCCAAATCAATATTATAATTATTCACTACCATTATGACATTATCACTACAGCCCTGAAAAAAACCTCTATACAGTAGTGCGATAGCTATTGAACAAATGCCAAATAAGACCGATTAGGATTCAAGACAAGTTATAAATGAAGGCCACAGCTGCAACCTCTTATCAGTTATTTTATGAGTAAATGACTTGATGATGACTTGATTATGTAACATCTGGATGGGTAGAGAATAAAAGCTATTGTGCGCGAAATTTCAGTGCTTCACTGTGACAAACTTGAACGATTGGAAATGTATTTGTTTTTCAGCACTTTCCTGTAAATAAAGTTATTATTAACCGTTACTACTGTAATTTTGCAGAACTGCATCTCTTTTGCGTTTACTTCATCAGGAGGTTAATGAAAACGGCTTTAATTCCATGATTAAGTTGAATTTTGAAATAGTGTTACATAAAATAGTGTTTGATAAATCCCAGAATCAAACAGTGGCATAAACAGCAACTCTTCTATTTAAAATCATAGTTCCTGGCGCATACCATTCCACTTCACTCTCTGGCTTCATATTTGTTGTCTGTCTCTGCTGTCCAGTATGGAATGAAAACAGAAATGTAGCCCAGAAGTAGGTCAAAGCTCAGCACTATATATTTAAAGTTTTTTCAAATTCACTTCATTGACAAAGGAAACATTTTTCTTTCAAAACTCCCATTTGCCTTTATAAGCAGCGCAGTGTTTATCAGCTGTGAGACTATGATGATGGTCTGGTGTACAGGTGGAAAAGCAACAGTGAATTGATTATTGCAAGTGATCAGAGGAAACCAAATCAACACGTACATAACAATTGTTTAAAATTAAGACATTAAAAAGGGAGTTTTCTAATGAAAAACTGTGGGGGGGGGGGGTCCACCAATAAGCTGCAGAATGACCGAATATCTACAGACAGCAGTAATACTGACCACGAGGTGTTAGAGTGGGCTGTTTTTCCACATCCACCTGCTGTCGACTCCCAGCAGGGATGTTGTTGTAGATGCGCTTGTAGTGATTGTACACTGCAACTGCCAACACCTTTTTTGCATAGGACTGGCCAACAACAAACTTGTCGAGGTAAGCATATATCTGGAGAAAAAAACAATTTATGCTTCATAACAGGATAATAGACTTGATTACAACAGGATGTGTAACATTTCAATGAAAGTCCTTTAAAAGCATATTTTGACTTCCTGCTTTAATTTCTCACCTTCTTCGGAGGAGGGGGAGGTTTCTGTGAAAAGGCCAGTTTCACTGCCTCCGCAGCAGATTCTGGCTCTTTGTTTAGTCCCTTCTTAGAGTCCGTTTCAGACAGAACCACGAAAAAGTGATGACATTTCTCACATTTGACAAATCGTGTTGATGCTACAAAAGAATAAACACACAGCACAGAAACATTTCACAACCTGGTTTAAAAAAAAAAAAGTGTTTGAGACATTCACAGCTTAACATTTTTTTCAAGGTTGCATATCAATAAGCTGACTCGCACTAATAAAAACAACAGGTGGCTCATAGTGCTGAACTGTAGAAATGGCCAAAAATTGTCTGCTGCTGGTCCTGAACTGCAGGATAAATGTGTTACACATGCTGCCGAGCAGTGTCCCTGGTACGTTTGTTTTCAACAGATTTGAATGAATTCTCTTTTTACAATGAACTTCAATTTGACTCCTAGCAGTCCCTGACCAAGCTGCACTTACACTGCTAGATGATACTTGGTTACTGGATTATAGTGAGATGACAGCACATTGCCGCTTGTATGCATCAGATTGTGTGGTCTGAGTGGTTGAATAGACACATAGACAGTGGTAGACGGAGCTCTGGTCCATCACCGACACAAGTTTACACAATCATAAAGTTTCACAAGTTACAAAACAACCCAGAGCAGGAACCCCGCATCTGATTGTTTGAAAGGAGGTTTCCTACACCTCAAACAATCTAAACAACACTTCTTAGTTGTAGAATATAAACTCACATAGTGAAAATGTTCATTTGACAACAATGAAACCTATCCCTCAGTGTTTACTTGCAGGTTTGTAGTTTGACAAACTGTGCCAGGAAATGACATATGATGGTTGTTTGTGGTGTAATGTAATGTGTACCATTCATATGCTTTATGTTTATAGCGATTGCAGTCCACCACTACAGTTTGTACCACAGCAAAATGTGAACCCTGGTTCAATGCTTTGTTTGAAATACAACAAAAGACACATTTCAAGACCGAATTCTGGACAAAAATGAAAATGTGTCTATTTGCTGCAGCTGCACTTCCCCCTCTGTTTCTTTTATTTTTAGTCAGCCAATGCACAAACCATCTCCTCAGTTGTTTTTTTCTCCGCCTCCTCCATGTTGCATGTTATTCAACGATATAATCCAGATATCTTTTTACATTAATAATACCGGATGTTTGCTGTATGATTCCTTGTTTACATAATCATAAAACAGAACCTCTCTCGTAAACTGTTCTCTACATTTTCTTTTGTTTCTTTAGTGAGGATTTTTGTGTGCGAACTCAACAAAACATTGGTGACATATTCTTCCCCTTTCCCACTTACTCATCTTGATTTTAAGTTTCTACATAAACTTTGTGCCTAAAATACACATCAGATCATATTTCTTGGTAAACCTGGTTGTTGAATATTAAGAAGTTTACTCACATACAAAGGTCTCTACGTGTGTGCAGGGATCTCCACATTTAGGGCAGCGTAGCTGGCTTCCCCCCTTGCCTGATCCTCCAGAGCCAGAAAGTCTCTTCCCCTCACTGATGCTTTTCTGTGTAAAAACAACAACAGGGTCAGCACATTTTACAATACATTACTACCCATCTCTTCCGTTTACAGAGTAATGCGTAACACTATCATGGAAGAGAGCTACAAATGAGATTTCTCCTCCAAGAGATTACCTTTCCACCATCGCTTCCACTGTCCTTTGTTGTCCCGTCTTTAGCAGCATAGCAGACAGCGGCCTCTGAAAACGACCTCACTCGTACCCTGGGAGGTAAGTGAGTTTCCCGAGATCCCTGACGACTCAGAGAAAACAACTGGATCCGGGAGCAGGACAATCCTGACAACAAACAACAACACTCCTTTTGATTCCAAAAACATTGTCTGTTATAAACATATATTTCAAATGAATGACAATAACTATGGAAATTTAAATGTTTCACAATTTTGTTTTACTTGAAAGACTAATAAATGAATCGGTTAATCGAGTAAATAATCTGCAAATGAATTGATAATGAATATAATTGTTAGTTGCCACCCTACATGCATCATTGGGGGAACTTAATTAGTTCATAACACATCAGATGAGTATAAAAACTGCAACATAATGGCCTCTGTCTATAGATATCAGTTGAACACACAGCATATTATCTAGAGCAGCAGTTCATGGTCTGGGGCAATGAGTCCATAGTTATATATGCTATGGCTGAACATTTGGTATTACGCAAGTGTGAGGGGCTCTGGCTGACGTAACAAGTATGCTAAGCTATTGGTACTTAACACTATTTTCTGTTTTCATATAAACAAGTTATGTGTGTTTTCCTTTTGCATTATCACTCTTGAAGCTAAGTCACAACCGTGCAACTCTATGAAAAGCTGGGTGATGCAAGTTTACGACTCACGTTACAGCTTTCTTACAGCTACGAAAACACGTTTCCCACCTGCAGTGGGCATTAGGTGACGGGCGGACACTATTATGAGTTAGCTGCAGACCTACTTCACGAACAGCAGCAAGTTAACTTTAGCACAATGTCATGCAGCTGTTAGCCAGCTGGTACTTTCACTTTCTTACCTCTGTGGGCAGTGTTTAGGAACAACCTGGCAGCCGAAGTGCATGGACAGGACATAACTCCCCGTTTGGCTCAATATCCTGAAAATGAACATAAAGTTAACACTGTGTGCTGAGGAGAAGATGGAGGCTAACAAACAGCAGTAGCAAACAAGAGAGGCCGTTTAGCCTTCAAAACATGTCACAACTTCAACGTCACAGTTAGCATTAGCAGGTCATTTACTGGCGAAGGTGGCAATGCTACTGTAGAAATCAATCTCGGTTAAATGATTCATTACATGTATTAAATTATTAGGCTACCAAGGTCAACTACCTCCTGCTATCTAACGGCAGCAATACACGGCAAAATAAACAGTGTAACGCTCGCTGGTTGTGTTATGTCAATAAATAACTGCTAGCTACGTAAGCTAGGCCCAAGCCAGAACTACCTGGTGTTTCTGTTGGTGGAAATGACAAACACCCCTGGCAGACATACAGCCAGTATGTTGCGCAGTGGTTAATATGAGTTACCCTGAACAAACAGCTAGCGTTAGCTAACGCAGGCTAACGTGACTAGCCAAATGCTAAAATTAGCTTATTAATTATAACAGTGCCGTTAGACCAGCATACGTCGAGACAACATGTAATTAGTTCGTTTTACTCACAGGGCACGATGAAACCCAGTCGCGTCCTGACAACCTCTTCGGGAAAAAAAACAACACCAATTTTCAAAGTCACTGCAGCTTTCGCTCCCTTGTTTTAGTTAAACGGCTCAGTGTGTCGTACTAATGTCACAGTGCATACAGTATTGGCTTCTCTAGGCCGATATTTCCCAGGTGGGACACTACCCAAAGTGATGTAACGCTGTTATGCACTAGGTCGGTTACACAGTTAGCTGCTAGCTAGCCTTCTCTCTGGGTACAGTAGCTAACAGACGTGAATTAAAACGTGTGAACGGTGTAAGCAATATGGAGGCTTAGCTTCTGTCTATGCGGCTCACACCCATCCCGATGTTTGGAGATCTAGCAGCTAATCCACAGGAGGCGTTTACAGGAATGACCGCTGGTGCGTTCAAATGGTCCTCGTAATGTACGGTCTGTGTTACGTTTGGGTGATCCTCGTAAATGTGTCACGCTGTCCTGAACCGAAGATTCACTGTAAAATTAACAATACTGTCATATTTATTACCGGAGTTGTTGGTGGAATCATATAGTGGTCTGTAATTGCTTTCAATACCAACTATAATATGTAGCCTACTGGAGTAGGACATGCCTGTCATTAATAAATAAAATAAAAGTTTTCAGCCAACGACCCTGCGTTAGTGGAGAGGCCTGCAGGACCTTACCAACTACAGGAGACCATCCCCCCCCACACACACTGATGAGACTCACCAACTGGCTGACAACCAGAATGTGTTGTACTGCAGGTTTGATAAGCCCCCCCCCCCCCCCCAACTGCTCTGATATCAAACAACCACCACCGCCTCTCAGCTCTCCTAACCGACCCCCCACCCGCACTGAGGATCTGCGAAGAGGATGAGTCTGCTTTTTCACAGACAGAAGATTAGGAAGGCACCAGGCCTTCAAAACTGTGGAGATGACAGTGGACTTCAGGAGGAGCCCCCGACACTGCCCCCCCTTCACCATACTCAACAGCACTGTGTCTGCTGTGGAGACCTTCAGGTATCCGGGATCCACAATCTCCCAGGACCTGAAGTGGGCCTCCAACATTGACACCATCAAAAAGGCCCAGCGGAGGATGTACTTCCTGCGCCAGCTCAGGAAGTTCAACCTACCTCAGGAGCTGCTACTCGGCTATCATCCAGTCTGTTCTCTGCACGTCCATCACTGTGTGGTTTGTATCGGCCACCAAACAGGACAAGAACAGACTACAATGGACTATCAGGTCTGCAGAGAAAGTCATTGGTGCCAGCCTGCCCTCAATTCAGGACTAGTACATCTCCAGAGTCAGGAAACAGGCAGGAAACATCACTGCAGACCCATCACACCCTGGACACAACCAGTTCCAACTCCTCCCCTCTGGTAGGCGCTATAAGGCACTGCAGTACGTTAAAACCACCTGACACCAGAACAGCTTCTTTCCACCAGCCGTCACTTTGATGAACAATTAATCAGTCATTCTGCGCTATTACCTCCATTTCATGATAATTGTTGTTGTTTTTTATGTTCATATCTATACTTTTGTATATGTATTTATATTTATACATAGTTAAATGTTTATGCTTATATCTGTTCTACTTTTTTGTCCTTGTTTTTTGTTTTTGTTTATTTGTATATTCTGTGTATATACGTTGAGAGCATGTATGCGTACGCATAAATGGCCAATAAAGCTGATTCTGATTCTTATGTAAACAATCAGAGATATCATAAGAAATAACAGGAAAAAAAGTCTTAGACATCTGTTATACTTATATTATTAACAATGATAATAATAACATACACATAAAGCTTTGGTGCTGACCAAATCATGTCCTCTTGTCTTGTCCTTGTAGTTTAATGACAATAAATAAATAAATAAAAATTATCTAGAAAGTTTAAATGGCCTTCATGTTCAATAGTGACATTGGAAATGGCCTCACAGTTGTACATAATAATTTAAATTTAAAAAATGTGGAATCATTTTCTTTATAGACTGTTTAAATCCAAAATTGAGGTATCTTGGAATAGACAAATAAAGATTAGAAGTCAGTAGTTTGAGTAACATATTTACTGTGAACAAGTCCAGTGTGACTTAAACATCGTGTGTCAAAATCGGGTCAGTGTTTCAATACATTCACGTAAACCAACTGAGCCTTTACAAATAACTGTATTGCTCATTTTACAAGTTTTGTGGTTATTTCTAGTTCCATTTGAGTCTAACTTTGCATATTTTCACGCTGCTGTTGTCCCACATATACAGAAGCTTTCTGTTGGGATAATATGACAGCATAGCCAAGATGCCATTGGCTGGCCTTAAATCAAAACTTGCATCCACAGGACTCTCTTTCTTTAAATCAAAGGCATATGTAACTTTTCTGTCTTTGTCATCTGTAAAATATAGCACCCCACCTACAATGAAAGCATTTCCTGCTTTCGTTGTAGGGTAGCGAGTGTTAATGACTGACTCCACAGAGAATCTATCAGTGTTAATCTTTGCAACCATCGTATCATCATCTGTACCTGATGCAAAAATGACCCACAGTCCATTTTCATCCAGAGAAAACTTGAAATACGTCTTTGAGTTGCAAAAAAGATAAGCCAGGTTGTGATATCTGCTGTTTGCCATGATCAGAGTGTTTGTTCCCCCAGTGTTCAGGTCAAATCTGTAAAATATTACACAAGTTTGAAAAAAGTCAGAATGAGTACGTTAATAAGGCAGGGACAAAGTCTTATACAAGGTAATACAATCACTTACTTAATAAGTTTGTTTGTTCCTGCGTTGTGAAAGTAAAATGACCGCTTATAAACAACATGACCACAGCCCTGGAACCACGTCCCGACGTCTATGATTTTGTTGTTTGTATCATTAAATGTCAAAATGTTCCTGCGCTCCACCAAAACTCGACCTGGGAAATAAATGTTTCAGTGTTTACTGTAAATCCACAATAACTCACAAATCTCTTTGATGAATGATTTGTAGACTAAAGAAAATAAAAAATATACCTGAAAAATGATCGGCCAGCCAGTATGGACCTCCATCCTGCTGAGATGCATCGGACATCCAGGCTCCAAATGTGCTTTGCATTTTGGTGGCTTTCTCTGGACATTTAATATTTCTAATTCTGCACTCTAAATAACAGAAGATAGGTACTTCAGTATTTTAATAATAACATTTTAAAGATGATTGATGGGCTTTGAGAGAAAAGAGAAATCTTATAAATTAAGATTATTATTAAAACAAAACACAGGACACAAAACTATTTATTTTTACCCCTTTTCATGGGTGTTTTGATAATATTTCCACTGATGTTGAAGGCGTCCGTCTCCAGATCCTCAGAAAGTGAGGCTGAAACATGAAAGGAAACATAAATGCACATAGACAATAATGGTGATATAGTGCAGCATCAAAATCATGCAAAAGACATGACCAAATATTCTAAAGGCCATTGTTACATTTACATATCATTTGAAACAGAGCATTTCTTACCTGTTAATAATCGAATTGGTGCCTCTGTAGTATTGTTGAAAGCATCACTGTTTTGGTCCGCGGAAAGTGGAGCTATAGAATGAAAAATAACATTTATATATAATGTTTTATACATGGTTTAACTTTGCTCAATTCAAAACACAGTGTTTCCTACCTGTCAATAATGTTATTGGTGCCTCTGTAACATTTTCTCTCTTGGTATCGTTCAAGATGTCATGGTCGTCATCTTGATGAAATGATACTGACTCTAGAAAAGAAAACAACTTTTTTCTCATGTAGTCAAAGTTTGTCTTTAAGTCTCCCTGCTGCTGAAACTGGTTGTTTACCAGCTTCCATGTTTGTGTCTAGAAGTTTCTCAGAGTCAGTGACATCTCTGCTGTTGTCAGTTGGACGAGGAGTTGCTGGATCTGCAGAAAGAAAAATGAGATTCAACTAGAAGAGATGGTACAGATATTAAATGTAGCTCTTTTGAGGGAAGATAAAGAACGCAAATACTAAATGTGTGAATTGATCAACACTGATACCAAACAGTGATCCCAATAGACAGTTTCTTACCACTTTTCATGGGTGCATCAATAATGGCTCCACTGTTATTGAAGGAATCACTGTTTTGGTCCACAGAGAGAGGAACTGTTGAATAAATGAAACATTAAATATGTTTTAATTAAAGTTATAGTCACGACTTTACTCATGATTTTATTTTAAGTGTTTCCGACCCGTTG